CCACGTCCGGCCCTCTCTCTCCCTATTTAAGCTCCCCCGTCGCTCCCTCTCGCTTTTTCCCCATTTCGCCTCCCTCTCCCGAGCTCCCCATCGCTCCCGCGCCGTGCGCCCATCCGCCGCTGCCTCTCCCGCTACTCCGGTCGCCTCTAGCCGCCGCTACACTCGCCGCCGCACCGCGCCGTCGCCGCCGTTGGGTTCGCGCGGCCGAGGTCCACCTCATCCACCCCTCCTCCGTAGAGATTCGCCGCCGGAGCCCCATCCCCGTCGTGCGCTGGAGGTTCCGGAGCTCGTCCCGCCGTCGCCATCGTCCTCCGTCGCCCGCCGTCGTCGACCGTTGTCGGTGAGGCCTCTCCTCCTCTTTCTCTCTCTCCCGCACCGTTTAGCCGTCGCGCCGCCGCTTAGCCGCGTAGCTGCCGCTTCACCTCTAGCCGCCGCTCTCCGCCGCCGGTCGGGCGCCGTCGGCCGCCGTCTTGCGCCGCTGCCGCATGTGCGCCGCGCCGTCGCGCGCCATGGTCGCCGGGCCGGTTTGCGCCGTGCCCGCGCGCACCGGCCGCGAGCTCCCGCCGCAAGGGTAGATCGGGGCCATCGGTTCGGCCGCCGCGTGGCGCGCCGCTCCTCCCCGGTCCGTGGACCCGATCCGCCGTGGACCGCCCTCCCCGAGCCGCTGACCGGTGGGGCCCGCTTGTCGGCGCCCTTCCTCCCTCCCCGAGCCGCTGACCGGTGGAGCCCGCATGTCGGTGCCGCGCCCCGCCTTGATGACGTCAGCCCTGGAATATATTGCGCAATAAATGATTTAAGGTTTTTCTTGTATAGTAATAAACACAGCGAATCTTCTAAAATTCATAACTAATTCATCCGAGCTCCGTTTAAGCCCATTCAAGTCTCAGTAAATCAAGAAAAATGTGTAGAATCCATTAAAAATGGTTTTGTTCCCTGTTTCAGTAGTCTTATAGCCTGTTTGCAATGTTTGCTTTGTATGTCGCTAGATTCCGATTCCTCCGACGCTCCGGTGTACTTCGAGATAGTCGCCGAGGTTCCTCCAGCAGCAGAGCAAGGCAAGTCATGCTTGTCACTTGAACATGTTGATCCTATATTGCAAATGCTCTATTGTTTTCTTTCAAATACTGCATCGTTTTATAATGTTACTATGAGTTGTTTACCTATTGTCATAGCCATGCTATTGATGTACCATGTTTCTTTGTCAGCTTGGGGTTATAACATGATTAGAGTTTGGACTAGGGATTGCTTAGCCATGCTTAGTTTGCTTAGTTCAACTAGTTCACAATGGGGAAAAATCCTATTAATGTTTAGACTGTTGGTTCTAATGGTTTGTTGGATTAGTAACACCGCTTTGGTGTTGGTTAATTAAAATAAATCACATGGTGGGCTGTGGGTGCATGGTTTTGCTGGTCGCACCCATGGCAGTTAAGGACCGGTTCGCGGGATGCCCTGGAAGAACTTATCGTACTTACCACAAGCCAGCGTGGGCAACGGCTAGGCTTGTAGCGTAGCTTTCCTCTAGCCGACGCATCCAGGCAAGGGTGGGCGTGATGGAGTTTGGATGGGCCCTGCGACGGCCTATGCGGCTTCCGGATTCACCTAGGCACGAGAGGGGACTGCCCGCTGCCTTGCGAGGAGTGGGGGTGAAACCTGAGGTGTGGTGTGCTTGGTTAGAGGGGGTTATGCGAAGGGTCCTGTCACGGCCTCTTTCCGGTATGTCGTGGTGACATGTCGGCGCACAGAAACGTGTCGTGGGGCTGTGTCTTGTGGGTACAGTTGTACACCTCTGATCAGAGTAAAACTATTCGAATAGCCGTGCCCGCGGTTATGGGCGGTCAACCAGATTCACCGTGATTAGTCTCACCTTAGTGTAATCTTTTGAATTTGGATAGTTTAGGTGGATGGCTGGGCCTGTCGCAACGTGGGATAGCGTTGGACAGCGGATGATTAATATTAATTAATTATTACAACTGTTTAAATCTTTCAATTCCTGTTTATAAATGCTCGCTTTATGCAAATGAACCACTTTAGCTCTTCTTTGATGATTCCCTGCACCATACCCCTATTCCGGTATGACTTGCTGAGTACAGTGGGTAGTACTCAGTCTTGCTCTACTTTTCCCAACCCCAGAGTTCGAGTTCGGGTCAGATGAAGGTTTCTTCGAGGAGTAGGCTTTGTCCGTGCCGTCGAGGATGCCTGTGGAGTGGTGTTCCCGCTGCAGTTTTAGTCAAGGCTTAGCTCTTGTTGTCTTTCTTTTCTTCCGCTGCATTTATGTAAGACTTTTATGATGTTTGTAAGACGTGGATCTGAATGTCAACATTGTCGTTTGTGTACCCCGGCCGGTCCTGGACGGGGATTTTAATGCACATTCTGCTTGAAATTCTATTCGGGAATTTCTGGGCGTGACACTTCCCATCCGATCTCCTCCTCCCCCTTCTCCTCTTCCTCCTCCCATCCCGGCCCTCTCCTCTCCACTACTACAGATCCGGACTTCAGTGACGGGTCAACTGTGACGGGCCAACGCAACTCGTCAAAGATGACGGCTACCAGAGAGGACCCGTCACAGATGTGAGGTCATCTGTGACGGCTTGCACTTGTAACCCGTCACAGATCGTCTGTGATGGGTCACAACCATGGCTCGTCACAGATGACATGTCATGTCATGTCATCTGTGACGGGTGTAGTATTATGAACCATCACAAAAGAGACCACTCATCTCTGACGGGTCTTTAACTAACACACGTCACAGAAAACGTTATCTCTGACGGGTGGTAGTTATGACCTGTCAGTGATGAGTGAAAATTCAAATTTTTAAATTTTGCAAAAAACCTCGGATTGAGACATGTCCTATATAAAAGTTATAGCTCTCGATGATATCCACAACTTTATAACTAACAACATTTCTATTAGAGATCGTTTACATCCCTGAACATGCATTACAAGTGATCAGATCTACTTTTAAAAACAAAATTTTGAGTTTTTTTTTTCAAATGACATGGATGGATACATGCTCCGTATCAAAGTCATAGAACTCAACCAGATCTACAATATTATAATTGAAAATATTTTCATTTCACAGAGTTTACATGTTCAAAATACATGTTATAAAGTGAGATATATTTTGAAAAATGAAATTTTGAATTCTTCAAACAACATTGGATGAAGATATTTTCTATGTAAAAGTTATAAAACACGATGAGATCTATAATTATTTAGTTGATAATATTTTCATTTGAAGTCATTTAGGGTGTTAAATATATGTTAAATGATTCAGACAAGCATAGACAAAATAATAACATTGGGTGCATAGTCAATATGTGCTGAGTAGGTGAGTTGGTAAGGGAGCTCTATATGGAGGTTGAGGTCTTGAGTTCGAATCTCATGTGTAGCATACAAGTTATATTGCGGGAAAAATTGTGAATTTGTTAGGTAGTGATGTGTAACCATGAATAGGATGGCTAGTAAAATTCAAAATATTTTTTTGAGGTTTTTTTGTTGCGTTTAAAATTCAAAAATTATATTTCTTGCTTTGTGAATTTGTAGGTAGTGATGTGTAACCATGTATAGGATGGCTAGTAAAATTCAAAATATTTTTTTGAGGTTTTTTTTGTTGCGTTTAAAATTCAAAAATTATATTTATTGCTTTATCATCACTAACGTGTCGTAAGTTACAACCCGTCAGAGATGAGTCATCAGTGACGGTCAGGTAGTTGCGACACGTCACTGATAACTCATCTGTGACGGGTGACAAGTTTTAACCCATCAAAGATGACTTATATACCGGTCAGAGATGGGTTATCTGTGACGGGTGCCCGTCACAGGTGATTTTGTCATCAGTGACCACTAATCACTGACCAAGACCAAACCCGTCAAAGGTGAGGGTTTGGGCCCGTCAGAGATGACCTGGTCCGGCGTAGTGCTCCCTCCTCCCTTCCCATCCGATGCCCAGCGAGGGCCGCCGCCTCCTCCTCCTCCTCCCTTCCCGCACGCGTCAGGCGGGGCCGCGCCCGGCGGGGCCACACGCTGTAGGCGGCCGGCGGGGCCGCACACAGGCCGCGCACGGGCCGAGTAGCGAGTGGTGGCAGGCGGCGCTACCGGCATCCATTCTTTTTTTCTTTTTTTTACAATTTGTGATTCAGCGAGATGTATAATTTTGTGATTTGCTGTATGGATCTGAGATGTATAATATGTGATGTATTTGGTCTGTGTGTAATTTTTTTATGATTTGTGATGTATTTGATTTGTGTGTACAAGTAGCTTAAGATTTTTGATGTGAATGTTTTGTGATGTTACTTTGATTTGGGGTTTGATTTGGGAATATGCATCCCACTCGATTTGGGAGAAAATACAGGGATTAAACTCTGGCTAAAAAATAATAAAAAAAAGAAAAGGAGACCTAATGGGACTGCCGCTACCCTCTCTTTAGTCCCGGTTATTTCACCTGGGACTAAAGATAGTGATCTTTAGTTTCGGATTCATAGTCCCGGTTGAATAACCGGGGCTAAAGGGGGTTACGAACCGGGAGTACAAAGGGCTTGTTTGGTTCAATACCCTACCAAAATGTTGGTAGTGCCAAAACCTAGGCAAGTTTTGGTACTACCAATTTTTTGGTGGGGTAGAGTTGTATTTGGTTTGAGGCCAATTTAGAACCAAGCATTGAGTAGAATATAGAAAATATCAAATTGGGCATTGGCAATGCCAATGATTTGGCTTCAAACCAAAATTACCAGATACACTGTTCAAACTACCAAAGTATTGGTAGGGCACGTTTTTGGCACTAATCCAAAACAGCCCAGAGGGTTTCTCCACTAGTGATAACAAGAAACTTGTTTAGAGCGTACCTGCTTCCCAAGCGTGTCGCCCTTATCCGGCTGCCTCGTGTCCAGACACCTGGCACAACACACATCGCCCATCTTACACGTGCACATGCTCCCGTGTCACCTCCTCAACACTTGCACGAGTTCTTCGTTGCTTGCCGCTCTATAAATTTCCAGCTTCCTTTCGATCCTCTTCAACAATTACAATAATCATCAAGCTTCTTCTTATGTTCATCCAAATCCACAGCCATAAAAGTAGCCATACTTGAGTTTAGGTAGCCAGCATGCAGGCCGGGAAGAACGCGATGCAGTCGACCAAGGAGGCCGCGGCGAACGTGGGCGCGTCGGCGCGCGCCGGGATGGACAAGTCCCGCGCCGCCGTGCAGGGCCAGGTGGAGAAGGCGACGGCGCGCAACGCGGCCGACAAGGACGCGGCGGAGGTGAGGCGGCAGGAGCGCCTGCAGGCCGCCGAGGAGGAGAAGCAGCACGCCATGGCCGCCAACGCAGCCGCCAAGGAGCGCGCCACGGGCGGCGCCGGCGCGTACCACCCGTCGCAGGGCGCCCCCGGGGTGGACCCGCGTGCGGCGCAGCCGACGGGAGGGCACGTCCAGGACGGCGTCGCCGAGAGCCGGCCGGTCGGGACGGCCACCGGCACGGCGAGGCCCAGCGCCGCCCACAACCCGCACGTCGGCAGCGACTTCTCGCAGGCCCACGGCACCGGCGGCCAGTACCAGTGATCTCATTCTCATATCAATGTGACAATTTATGATCTACTAGTAGCTGTTCATCAGTTCATGTAGAGTTCACTTCGCTACTATGAGTTGATGGGGAATAAAATTGTACGTGTTAGAAGTGGTATCATGTTGTGGGAGATGCTTAATTATGAAATAAAACAGAGTACTCTCTTCGTTTCACAATGTAAATAATGTAAATATAAGTCCTTATAGTATTTTTTATATTCATATTGATGTTAATTTTCTATATTTATATTGATATTAATAAATTTAGATTAATAAATTTAGAGACATCAATAGTACCTGAAAATATGGTTACTTCGATATGTGTATGCTTGATTGTGTTTGTTCATTTCTATCCAAATATGACTACTTCGATGTGTATGATTGATTGCGTTCGTTCATTTCCATGCACTCAGTGACGTCTGTGTTTAATAATTACTTTCTGATGGATAAGCAGAGGTACTGGATTTGGTACTAGATTTATCCCGTGTGGGAAGTTTTTATATGTTAGTCGTGTGAGACGTACTCCCTCCGTCCTTAAAACCTAAAAAAAGACAGCTTATTTTTAGTCTAAATTTAGTCTAAAAAAAGGACAAACCTTGTTTTCGTGCTTAACGTTTAACCGTCCGTTTTAGTCCGTCTTATTTGAAAAAATTATGAAAAAAATAAAAAGACAAGTCACATATAAAATATTAATCATGTTTTATCATCTAATAACAATAAAAATATGAATTATAGAAATTTTAAATTTTATATAAGACCGACAGTTAAAATTGGACATGAAAACCCAGTTTTTTTTTTCATCAGACGGAGCATAAAGGATGGGTTTTGCATTTATTTTTCTTTTTATTTTTATTTTTTTTGATGGAGGGAGCATGAAGGATTCTCGAACGTACGTAAACTACTACGTCCTACTAAATGAGTAGTCAAAGTATATATTGGGTATCTGTTCATCTAGACTTAGATCTTGTGTTACAAAATTGGGTGGGTATCTTAAACACGGGTCTTGTACATTACTTAAAGCCTTGAGATCATGTAGTACGTCTCTTTGACTCTTGAAGATATAGATCTTTTACCCGTTCCTTCAACATATATGTACATATCTAGAATAGGTACGTATGTATATATTTTTATCTAGAATCGGTACCTTTACTTCGGTTTATGTTTTTATCTGTTATCGGTACCTTTTAGTTTTTTATTACAGCTGTCGATTTTTTATTTTGATATTTTTTTTGTCACGTGAAGGTGGGAATCTTATTTTATGTTGCTCATACCCTGATGATTCAGGGATAGGGACCCCAGTTCCCATTCCTTCAACATATATGAACATGTTTTTATCCAACATATATGGATATGTTTTTATCCACAAGCGGCACCTATAGATGTTTAAAATATTTAAAGGTGTTGGTTCTTTATTGTTTTTACCATGTGGAGGTGGGAAACAATGTTAATAGGTGTTGGTTTTAAAACCAGTATATATGAGTTGTTTCTTATTAGAGCTTTTGTTGTAGTGATCATGATTGTTACGGCTTTCATAAGGCGGTAAGGCGTGCTCAGGGCTCAAGACGTCTGTTCCGCCTTACCAACCGTGCATAAAGTGTCACCTTAGGGCTTGAGGCGTCACTAAGGTGTGTGCAAGACGTTGCAAGGAGCTAGGTAAGGCGGCATGAGGCGACGCCCTAGGCGCGAAAGAAGAGAGAGATGCATCTGGAGATCTAATCTCATCTGGTGGCGGCATCCTTCCCATCTGATGGTAGCGTCTTTCCCATCTAGCTGCAACGGTACCCTCGATGGCCAGAACCACCCAACGGCGAGGAGCGGCGGTGTTAGGGGAAGAGGGAGCCAAGGAGGAGCAGAGGCGGGCAAGTGGCAGGGGAAGAGGGAGAAGTGGAGGGGATGAAAGGGATGGAAGCGACAGTGGAGCGGAGGCGAGTTGGTGGGTGCAGATGCGATTGGGGACTAGGATAGATCGATAGATATTTGTTAGCATCTTCCATTTTAGTCCTTGGACTTTGTAGATATTACGGAGAAGTCCTTCATTTCCTATTTTTGTCTTCCATTTTAGTCCTTGGACTATGTAGATATTACGAAAAAGTCCTTCATTTCCTATTTTCATATTTGCATAAGGCATCGCCTCGCCTTACGCCTTACCGCCTAAGGCGTAATGCGTGCTGGGTCCTTGCCTTACGCCTTACCACCTTAACAACCATGGTAGTGATTTGAAAAACGAGAAGACGTTAGGTAGTCCAACTACAACTACCACATGGTCCTGCATCTTAGCAACTGGTACCATCTACCACCGCTGCGCGAGAGAGAGGAAGAGACAAAGAATAGAGAGGGAGGAAGAGGGGAAGAAGAGTAATGACAGGTGGGTCCCATATTTTTTAATTAAATAAAATGCTGACTGGATTGCCACGCGTGCACCACGTTGGACAAAACCGCTCTGGATTGGGTCGAGGGAGGTAATTTGTCCGGTATTGAAAGTTTAGGGTGAACAATGACCGATTTTCGGGTTTTGGGGGGTAATTTGGACGATCGCGATAGTTCGAGGGGGTAATTCGTACTTTTCCTAATACTAATATCGACTCCACAGTAATTGTCTTTCCATGATAGACATGGGCAAGATTACGGTGTGCTCGGTTCATCACACCCTTTTTTTTTTCTAGGGGTCTGTTCACTTTATGGCCAAAATTAACCATACCAAGTTTTGGCGTTTACAAAATTTGGAAAGCTAACAATCCAAACATTGCCAAAAATTGTTTCCACTACCAAAGTTTGGTAAATCTAAAATCTTCCTCTCACAAAAACTTAAAAAGAAACTAAACATAGCCTACACTTGTCAACTTTATCAATTTTTTTGTAGTGCCAAAATTTAGTAACTTTAATTTAGGCATCAAAGTGAACAACCCCTAAGTCTTTATCACTCTTCTAGCTGCAAGGCTACTCTTCCGGAAAACTCAATTCATCCCGGTATATCTTCTTATTTTTGCATGTTACTTAAAATGTCATCAAAAAATTTGAAAAAAATTAGTAGGATAGATTAATTTGTGATATGTCACTTCACAAATATGCAATTTCAAATTCAACATATACAAGTAGAAATAAAGATAACAAATTTGACAATGAATAGAACGCGTAATTCACGGTTAAATTTGTTATTTTTATTTCGAATTGTATAAGTTAAATTTTAGCTTGCATGTTTGAAAAAAGATACTCATATATTGATCTATTTAAAAATAATAATTTTTTAAACGACATGCACAACAAGAGAACGTCCCCGAGGAAAAAAATCCACTTCCTATACTCCGTGACATCAGTTGCTATATTATATTCCTATTCCTAGTCGGAGTTGTAGTAGCGTTTCAGTTCGTACGTAGAGTCCGAGTCAGCTTCCACATCGCTCATATATATGCCGCGTGTTTCGTAACCGTCAGTGAAACCCTTCGCGCGAAGCAAAGCAAAGCAAAGCAAAACCTTTTTTCCCGCCAAGAAACCTCAATGGCGGCGGCGAAGATGGCGGGGCTGACGCCGGGGTTCAAGTTCGAGCCGAGCGACGAGCAGCTCGTGCAGTTCTTCCTCCTGCCCTACCTGCGCGAGCTGCCGGTGCCCCTGGGCGGCCTCGTCATCCGGGACGACCCGAGGAGCGTGCCGCCATGGAAGCTCTTCGCGCGCAACGGCCGGGGCGACGAGGAGGACGCCTACTTCCTCGCGCCAGCCGACGGCGAGGGCCGGCAGGCGCGCACCTGCGACGGCGGCCGCGGCAGGTGGATCACCCAGCGGCTGGAGCGCACGGGCAACCTGCGGCTCGCCGGCGGCGGCGGCAGCGGCGAGGCCGTCGTGTTCGAGAAGCACAGGCTCAACTACCACGCCGGCGAGGGGCGGTGCGGCAGCACGGGGTGGGTGATGCACGAGTACGCCGTCGTCAAGCCCGCGGCGCTCGGCGCCCGCCACAGGGCGTGCCACATCGCCTTCACCGGCCACGGCCAGAAGCGGAAGCGCGTGCCCGACGGCTACGTCGACGTCGAGGACGACGGCAGCAAGGCCAGCACCAACGCGGCCGCCGCCGTCCCTCCTTCCTCGACGGCGGCGATGTCGGCGTGCCCATCGAATGTCACCTATAACCAAGGGTGCCATATCTCGCCGGAGCAGAGCATCGAACAGCACTTCCCCGCGGAGCATAATAATATCCAAATCCAACAGCAAGCTTACTACCAATCACAAGACCACGAGCAGTGCCAGTACAGCGACGAAGAAAAATACCTGTTGCAGCAGATCAAGCAAGAACAATACTACTACAACCAGCAAAACTGCTTCTTGCCAGGCCAAGGCAACCAAGAACTGTACTACAACGACGAGCAGCAGCAAATATTCTCGTTGCCGGAGCATCAGTGCAGCCAAGAACAGTACTGCCATCACGACGACCAGCAAGACTGCGTCTTGCCGGAGCAACACAGCCAAGAACTACACGGGTACAACAACGAAGAACAAGGATACCTCTTGCCGCCGGAGCCGATCGACCAGGAGGAACAAGCCCTCTTCGTCGGCGGCGAGCCGCAGCATGAACAACAACCCTTGACGTCAACCCCGCGGCAGGCTCTTCTTGATTATGATGATGGGAAGCTCCTGCCGCCGGTCGGCGTCAACGGCGCCATCGCGATCCCGCCGCAGGACGCCGCCGTGGCGTCCAACGACGACGACGGTGGGCAGGCTACGGAAGCGCCGGCTGCGAAGATGACGGCGGAGGAGAAGAAGTGGTTCATGGAAGAGTTATTGACCGAGGGCTGTTGGTCTGGACCTCTTCTCTTCGACCAACCGTACTACGGTAGTGCGCTGAAGAATTGAAGTAGAACCAACGATCACATACAGCACTCGATCCGTATACCGCCGGCCCGAGGAGGGGCTGGAGGATCTGGTTGACAAGGATCAAAATCAACTTAGTGATGAATGTTTGAGTAGATATATGTTAATTAATTTATCTGTAATTTTATGGTGTAACTTAAACTAGCGCCAAGCGTTGTCACGCTGAAATGAACGCAGATCTAGCTTACACATCAATTTACTTGTTTCCGCTTTTATAAGAGAGAATATACATACTTGTGAGTTTCATGAACGTACGTATTTTCGACAAAACACCATTTAAACCTTATATATATATATATGTAGGTACATACTCTTCAGAGCAACATATTGACTCTGGTTTTGAACCCAGCTATAAAGGTGTGAAAAGGACATGGTGACTATTCACGTTGCATGCCAGAAGTTGGAGATAACCGCCATGTAAATTTTCATCAACTTGAGATTTAACAATAGGATTATATTGTTTTTTTGAATAAGTGTCTCTCTCACTGCTGGAGAAAGGGGCTTTAGTCCCAGTTAGGAACCCCCTATACTCCCGGTTATACAACCGTGACCACGAATCCGGGACTAAAGATACTCATATTTAGTCCCGGGTAAAAACACCAACCGGGACTAAAAATAGAGCCAAGCTAAGTCCGGTTGGTTTTTTTTCCTTCTTTCATTGTTTTTAACATTGAATATTGATTTCACTCTATTCCCAAATCGTAAAATTCCAAATCGATCATCACATCACAAATCAAAAGGATCCTCTTCATATCCTCAAATCGATCATCTCCAAATACATCACAAATTCTTTACAAAATACATCAAGTTCTAAAAAAATTCATCACAAATACATCATATATTCACATCACGCACAAATTATATACATCTCAGATACGAATCACAAATTCTCAAAAAAAAACAATCTCAGAGGCGTTGCCCGCCTGCCGCGCCGGCCATTGTCGCGGACGCCAGCCGCCGCGCCGACCGGCCGCTACCGCGCCACCCTCCGCGTCGCGCTGGCTGCCTCCGCCACCCCCGCGCCGCGCCAGGCCGCTGCTGCGCGGGCTGCCGCTGCCGCCCCCGCGCCGCTTCGCTACTGCCTCTTCGCTACCACTGCCGTCTCTGCGAGGAAAGAGTGGATAAGAGCAAGAAAAGAGGAGAGGATAAGAGCGAGGAGGGAGATAAGGAGAAAGACTTTGCGATAGAGGATTTGAGAATAAGTCCTAGGGATTATATACGTCGGGTTGAATTTTAGTCCAGTTTGGTATTACCAACCGGGATTAAAGTTCTACATAATCTTTACTCCCGGTTCTACATAATCTTTACTACATAATCCTCGGCCTCCTGACAGGCCTCTGACATGGATGAACCGGGACTAAAGATCATGAAAAACCATGGTCGGAGCTACTCTTCCTAGCCTCAACTGAGAAGTAAATATGAGATCACCTATATAAGTGAATATTTGAGAACTTTTATCTATACTTCGGAAACCCACAAACTCATATATGTTCAACTTGATTTACAGCACATAATATATATATATATATATATATATATATATATATATATATATATATATATATAATAGATATTTTTGAAGTGCAAAATATGAATATCACTATTTTGAACATATTTTGACCTGAGAAATTGAAGACGACTAAACTTCAACCAAAATTCTTTTTTTTTTTTACAATGGGCCTCGTATTACTTTGTTTTTTCGCCGGACGGGGCCATCGTATAAATGTGCCGAGGTTTATCTAAAACACCATTCCATTTGGAGCAATACGATTAGATGGGCATTTATACACCTCATCTCATTGCACCAAATCACATTCAGCGGTATAATTTTAAAAAAAATCCAATTATATCCACATTGCAAAAAAAAAAAAACTTTAGAAGTAAGGCTAACCTGTTCGGTCAGTTACCTTGTGACGGAGAGAACTATTGCTCTTGGTGACATACCCAAATGTTGCTTCATCATGAGGCAATACCTATAGAAATGAAATGACGGAGCAACAAACGCAAATAAGCACCGATAATCCTGCATGTAACATATTTGGGGTTCTAATTAAGACATCTCAGATAATTCATATGCTATGCCATCCACGGCAATCTGAATTATATTTGCTAAATCCTCAACACAAGTGAGACCACATGAATCCTACATCCAAGTAAAGGAAATGCAGTACTAACTTCACAGTTTCACACGCTAGAATGTAAAGTCTACTAGTAATAAGTAACTAAAGAATGCACAGTTAATCTTTCATGAACAGAACCAGGTGCATCTGCTGTGATGTATCTTCGAGCTAAGATCATGCCGGTGGAAAAATTAACCAAAAATCCACACCGCCCAGTTCCAACATATAAGCAAAATGTAGATTTTGTAGATTGCTGTAGTGCAAATCCCAATTTACAAGTAAACAATATATAGGAGAATTTAGTTTTTTTTATCATGCACTCAACATTTGCTACAGATGGCTGAATCATCTGAAATGAATAGCATGAGGAATTCAATTGCACTCCTGCTAGATTCAATGCACGACGTCCGTGCGTTAATCCTTTGCAAAGCCCAAGCAAGCAAGTGTTAGAATAATTGGGCTAGGCCCAACTTATAATATTAAATCTCAAAGGCCCACTACACTGGTCAAGGTCACCTGTGACGGGCCCAAACCCTCACCTTTGACGGTTTTGGGCTTGGTCAGTGATCAGTGGTCACTGGTAAGTCCAGTCACCTTTGACGGGTGGCCGGCCGTCAGTGGTGACATCCACCTCTGACGGGCAAGTTAATAGAAGGCCGTCAGAGGTGTTGGTCTAAGCTAGACTAGGGCTTGTTAGGACCCGTCACAGGTGTCTCATCTCTGACGAGCCCCTAAATAAAGGCCCGTCAGAGGTGATGATCTCCGGTATATAGTAGCCGTCACAGGGTGACCCACCTGTGACGGGCCCGAAAGTAAAGGCCCGTCACAGGTGGGTCACCTGTGACGGTCCGACGTTTGCGAGTCCGTCACAGGTGAGGTTACCTGTGACGGATGTTTCTTCCGAACCGTCACTGATGAGTTAATTCCAGAAAAAAAATAAAAGCTAAATATTGGCTAGCCTCAGGAATTGCTAGCCATGCCCTCTGAAAAACAGAAACATCACAGGTGCCAGTCACCCCCCCTCCATATCACATATTCCCCAACTGCCCAACATCACAGATGCATCACATATCACAGATCCATCACAAAGCAACAATTTACAACATCACATATGCAACAATTTAATTTATTATAGCACACAATTCATACCCCATGAAAGTCCTCAAATGATTACCAAAATTTCTTGTATTCTGTTCGTTGTGAACCTCCACAACCTGTCAATAAGGGAAAAAAAAAGGAGAAAACAGATGAATAGTACAACATAAATCGTAGTTGATCAAATGTGATGACAATTTAGTAAAGTACCATAAATATTGCACATATGAAAGTAAATTACATTGCACTCTATAAAAACATAATTTTTTACATCGCCAGAAATTATAAAAACATCTTTTTTACATCACAATAAATTATCTAGCCAAGTTCATGAGTCTATTTGGCATGAAAACGTCCTTTCTTGTTCATTATTTCTGCAAGAATAAAGGCGCACACTTCGCCTCTGATAGCGGGGGGTTGATGGGTGAGATCTTGAAGCCAGCTCTACCTTTCTGTTTAATAAATAAGAGGTTAATTAGCACGTTTTGCATAGCAATGTAGATATTGAAATGAGCTTATTCGCCATTAGCAACAACCTCAGGGTCGAAATCTTTCACCTCTCTTAGAAGTGTTGACATGTTGTGGCACACGTGGAAACCACATTGGTCTCCGATCTGTTGTGCGCATGCAAACTTGGTGTCATGATAAAGTTCGTTCTTGCCCTCCTTGTGCCTACCACCCTTTTCCATATATGGGCCCCAAGCCATATTTAAGGCCTTGGTGATTTCACTGAAATCATAATCTTTGGACTTATTGGAGTTAAGGTAGGTAACCCTACTCCACTTAGGTACGATGACTAGGAGAATCCAATGTCGCCTGCGCAGTGGTTATGTAGCGTTAGTACTAAGAACCTTAACTTCAGAAACAATATACACGAAGGGTATTGTCCTCTTACTCTTGGTTGTGTGCGCACATGATGTACTCCTTGTCTTGATGGGCCCATAAACACCGGTTGACATAGTCAACCACCTCAGTGAAGCTCTGTCGTAAATTAACCTCATTCACCATGGATGGATCAAGGAACCCAACCTGATTACCATGGCGACGACTCTCGATCCAACACAACCTTAAAATATTTACGTATTAGAACTAATTTAATTAGGAGATATAGTCCAGTCATATCACAAGTATAGAAGGTATGCACTTACATGGAGTAGCATTTTAGAAGACTAGTGTCCAACTTCCGGATCCTGAAAAGGTCGAAGAGGTCATCAAAACCTATAGTTATATAGGCAGGCGACGATAGGAACGGCTGGTGGTCGTGATGTCCAACTATGGATGACTCCCTCATTTTCCGCTTGGCATTGCTTAGCTCCATGTATTGCTTATGTAGCTCTCGGCAAGCAATACCCATCACAGCTAACACATTGTCCTCCACCAATGGCATGCCTAGCTCAAATTGGGCTGGTGCCCTCACGACCTTCCCCGATTTGCTCACCGGCATCGACGTCGCAGCCTTGCCCCTTTTTGGCTCCGGCGCCAACTCCCCGACCTTCCCCTTGCCGCGTTCACGCTTCTGGCCCTTGACAAGTGGTGGGGAGCTATCGGCCTTTCTTGTGGTCTTTATTGGAGCCAAGCTTTGAGCTATATCTGCCAAGTCCATATCAGCTCCACCGGGAGAATGAGGTACTGACAATGCCGGTCCACGGGGAGCCTCAATTGATAGCTTAGACTTGGGAGGTGTAAGCTCCGTCGGTCGACTTGGACGAGGAGTCATCTTCACAACTATGTCTTCTTTGGGCCATTGTATGAACGTCTTGCGCGCAT